TGTCTGCGGAATTGTTGATTGAGGGTTCGAAGTCAACATTTAGTTAGAAAGTTTCACAATTAAATCAAATATCTAATAATACCAGTATATTTATTTCATTATTTTAACAACTTGCAATGGTGAAAATTAATCACACACGAGTTCCTTACACCTAAATAAGTTCCAAATATTTGTCGAAACACTTGTTCTCTCATTTTAACAACTTGTAAAGGTATAAATTAATTAAACGGCAGGTATTCACACACAAATATATGGCCAATTTCTGTCCACACATTTATTCTCTAAATTTAAAAACTTGTAATGGTGGAAATTAATTAAATGACAGTTGTTTACACCAAAATAAGTATCAAATATTTGTCCACACATTTATTCTCTCAATTTAATAACTTGTAATCGGGGAAATTAATTAAACGAAAGTTGTTTACACCAAAATATGTCTCAAATATTTGTCGACACATTTACTTTCTCAATTTTAACAACTTGTAATGTTGGAGAATATTTAAACGAGAGATGTTTACACCAAAATAAGTATCAATTATAGTGGGTCCTGCAATTTCTACTTAGTAGTCGCATAGACGAGCAGTAGGGTTTAATCAGGGGAACTGGTATTAGCCGGGCCAGTTTAGTTCTCTATTGTTTGCGGAAACCGTGTAGAGAAAGACTGACCATTTCATTGTGTCTGAAGAGGGCCAGCAGGTTATACAAGTTACAGAGTGATAAAATGTCAAACAGAGTTTTGTCAAAATGTCAAAACGATTTTTAAGATTGTAGAATAAATAGTTTTCACTTTTTGTTATGAATTTATATATTTTTCAGTGCCAATTTATTGAGTGCTCAACAGTTATCTACTTTATTTGGACGGACTGGGATGTTGAAACTTTCGCAGTGACTGGATTGGAATTCTGAAGGCAACGGCGTGCTACACAAAGAACATGCAAAGACCTGACGACATTGGGGTAGTTTCCGCTCTGCCCGACTACTAGTATTGGAAACAAGAAATGTGTTATAGACATGTTTTCGTGACTACTGTCTACTTTGATACTCTTACTTTGTGCTCCTCAAACGGTACAACAGTCTACAGTTTTAAAATATAGATAGGACTCTGTCAAGCCACGTTTTACATATACGCTTCAGTAAATCAGTGTAGTTTATTTAGAGTGTAGAACATCCCAGGATGACCGAAGCAAAATTGGACGCCATTTTATTTCGACTGTGGCTCCCAGTAGAAGTGTACAGGACAGCGGATCGCCAATCTACCCCGTAAATATGATCAACCACTACTGAAGGGCGAAACTCTGAAGATCGTGCAACTTGCGCTTCTTCTTGTCAAGCGCAAGTGTTACTTTATAAAATTAAATATTAACCATAAAAATACAGAATTGCACCAGTGCGTTATGGAAAATGCAATTTGCGCGGTCTGCCTAGTTGTTAACTGAGTTGTTTACACCTGTTATTTCACCCGGAGTTGTTGCATTATTGTCTGTTTTGAAAGAAATTGACATACTTTGTTGAACTCACGGGAAACCATTTCATCTATTGAATGAAGTTTTATGGGTTCGTTTCGTTCATGGTCGACACTGAAACTCATTACGGCAATAAATAACAGGAACCTTAAAGATCGACTATGCAACTAATGACATTCAGTTGCCTCTTTTGCTGGACGCCCCCCCCCCCATAGATTTCGGCGTTCCCATGATATATCCCTTGGAATGAAAAGATGTATAATAATAAGGTTATTATGTCTTCGTGCATACTTTGGAGTATCCTCGTAATAACCTCAAATTACATTGATTGTGTTACACGCAAGATATTTTTGGTATGGTGTTTTTTTTTTGTTTTTTTTTTGTCCCTTGTATTGAAATGATCTATTTCATGCCAATCTTTGATACATCCCCCATATATGAATGCATGCAACATTTTAATGAAATATTAATTTTTCTATCAGTATTTTAGTAGATGAATCAGAACATGAAAATGTGTGTATGCGAGGGGGGCAACCACTAAACTGCATTTATGAATGTTTTCGATATGGCGTGTTGTTTTTCCTGAATTTGAATGAGTTAACCAATCGCAAAATTGTTTCAAGGGTGATTGACATTGACGACAATCTGCATGTTTTTATTTATATTCCTGCAAACCACGTGTATCTTTTTTCCCATGCTGCATGTCTAATTTACAAAGGTCTAAATCGTATATACAGTACAGGAGAGTCGTATTGACACGTTACTCGTTGTAGGCAATGTTGGCTTGAACCCTATTGCCAACGCTGTTAGCCCTTTTCACTATTACTTGCTAGTAGTTTACAAAGATACATGATACAAGTCTGGTCTTGTGTACGTTCTGTTAAATTATGTTCCTATTTTTGTAATGGTTGACATACCTGTCATTGATGAACCCAAAAGTGACAAAAACGAACAACGGATTATCTCCTGTGCCAATTCTATGATTTTTTTGAGATTTCAATTTGTAATATTGGTTTTTAAAAGCTTTCGGAATATGCCAAAATGTGTGACTCGTCATATCTTGTAGTTTAACTTTCGCCACATGCATTTGAAACAACGCATATGTGACGAGATATGAGCAATCACATATCAGATAGTGCGCTTCAGTTTTATTTTCAAACAAAACGACATCGACATTTCTTTTAGACTATTTGAGAATAAAACTAATGGCTTTAATACTATTCAACATTTTAATCCCATGTTTTATACGAGTGTGTTATGGGTTAAGGCTAGTCCTCGTATGATCGAGCTGTCGTACCAGGAAGCTTAGATGCTCGTATATGCATGTTTAAAATAGCGGGAATAACATCCGTAAAATGAAATGATGTTACGTAGTTGTGACCACGCAGATCATTGCACGTGAACTTCGCCAGCTGTTCATTCATCGTGACTCCCATTCACATACGCAACGACACGGTGAATATTCAATTAGAGCGATGCGCCACAATTTGTGGGAACGACGATCGTATGTACGAGAAAACAAAATGAATATGCAGCGTTTGGCAAATTATCATTCTTTTTGCTTCGTTTCGTCCATACATTCAGCAAGCAAGTTCGTGTCGTGTTTGGTTGGGTAATCGTAAAATAAATAAATCATTAATGTAATATCTAAAATAAAATAAAACGTAATGCCCATTGAATGACGACTACAAATACAATTTCGCATCACCTAATTACAACATAGAAACTAGAAGGCTGAATTTATTACCAGTGCCTAATATGTTTAGAGGGGCGAGGTGGACATA